CCGGGCGCTGCTCGGGCGGGCGGGCGGGCCGGCGGCGGTGGGCTCAGCTTTGTTCCGGCGCGGCGGCCGTGGGTACTTTTCCGCCCGCCCGCGCGCCCCGCCCCTCGCGCCCTGGTACTTTTCCACTCGCCCGGCCGGCGTGAATCAGCCGCGCTGCGCCGCCCGCCGGTCACGTGAGCGGGCGGCGCCGCAGTCCTGACGCCGCCTCTACCTTCGCAGGCAGCCGGCCGGGGTGCGCCGCCAAGGACAAAGGGGCTCCGCGGCGATGCTCGGCGTGAAGAAGACCGAGATGGGGAGGTTCAGCATCTCCCCGGACGAGGACAGCAGCAGCTACAGCTCCAACAGCGACTTCAACTACGCCTACCCCACGAAGCAGGCTGCTCTGAAGAGGTGCGCCCCGGGCCGCCCGCCGCAGTCGCAGGGCCCGGGCTGGCCCAGCGCGGTGACAGCGCCTTGGCGTTCGTGCGCGTAGTTAGGGCGGAGGAGCGGGCTGCTGTGCGCTGAACTGGCATGTTTGAGACCCTTAAATTATGCCTATCGTATTTTGCAGCCATTATGCAGATGTCGACCCTGAAAACCAGAACTTTCTACTTGAATCGAATTTGGGGAAGAAGAAGTATGAAACAGACTTTGTAAGTTAAAATTATCATTCGTGTGTCTGTGGCTCTATGGAGTGAAAGACTAGTTTTACTTGTAGATTTCAAATCTGACTTGCCCAGAACTGGTTTTCTCCGTTTAATTATTGTTATATGTTTGGTTATCGTTTCCCTCTGTGTAGCATCCAGGTACTACTTCCTTTGGAATGTCAGTATTTAATCTGAGCAATGCGATTGTGGGCAGTGGAATCCTTGGGCTTTCTTATGCCATGGCTAATACTGGAATTGCTCTTTTTATGTAAGTATGTGTAAGTAGTGAGTCTGCCTGCCACGCAGGGCATTACGTGATGGGTAAAACATTTTGGCTCCAGAAACTGAACTTGCAGTGGAGAAAAAGAATGAGAAGCCTCAAAATCTCTGTATTCTACTACATATTGCACAACGTCAAGGAAGTCAATTAGGGAGTAAAAAGGGCAGCATTTAAAACTGGGAAAATAGATCTGAAGTTTTTGTAGTTAGAATTGCTTGTTTTTGAAACATTTGAGATACTGGGTGACAAAAAAAAGAACTGATAATCCAGAATAGCCGTAAATTTTTTTCTGGTAAAAGCAGAAGCTAAAAATAGTATTGAGTGAAATGCTTTCCATATGGATTTGATAAGTTGACAAGTTACCCCAAGGATCTATGGCCCATTACATAAATAAGGAAGAGAGAAATGTGAGGTGTGGTGATATTTACCTAGCCTGGCAAATGTTTATTTTAGGACAACTGAGTTATTTTTCTGGATACGGAACAGGTTTTTTTTCTTTTTTTAATGTGTACTTTTCTGGATCTATGTAATTGCCACAGTATGTGGTAAAGATGAGTATTAGGTATGCGCTTTGCAGGGCTTTTTTCTTCCCAATTGCCCCATTAGTTGTTTTGTTTTGTTTTTGCTTTCCAGCATAAATGCCTGGATAAAATTTTGGAAGCACGGAAAACTGCATAGAAGTGATTCTTCTAGACATTTTGGGGTCATTGACTCATGGGAATTATAATGAAAAAATAGGAACTTTATTTCCACGATAGAAAGCACCTGAGTGTGTGTCGCAGTCAGATTTCAAGAACCCGTGGACTTGTGACAAAGGCTGACCTTAAGGTTTTTATCATACAGATAAAGAAACCACCTTGTCCCTTCGTGCCAGATGCGTCTTAGCTCCTGGTGACTGCTAGCTCAGGGAAGGAAGTCAGGACTGGCAAGGCCAGCCACAAGCCAGGGTTCACTGCGCTTGCTTCACTAGAAATGAGCTTTTTAAGACCTCTTGGAAAGCTAAGGGGTCAGGAATTGATGGATGGGATCCTTGATTTCGGGATTTTCAGTAGGAACTTGAATGTCATAGGTAAATTTTTGTAGATCTTGGTATTAAAAAGCAGGAAGCAACTTTAAAATACTGCCAATGTGATTAGAGTACGGAGACTTGGTAGGTCACGTGGCGACTGTTTCAAGAGTGGAAGCAAACTAATGCTCTGTTTGGACTTTCGGGATTCTGATTTAATAGTTTTATGTGTTTGATTAACCATATTAATAAATGGCTAAATGATACCAAGGTTGCATGAGTTTTTATTCCTTGATATTCACTATATGGAGAGGCCAAAAGCCATGTCTGCCACAGTTCACTTTAAACAATCTGTAGCTGACCTTTTTAAGTAGAATCAGTTTTGAGATTTTATAAGTAATGTGGTTACATGAAATCCATTTTATTCCTTGTCATTTCAGTGTCAGACAATGAAGGATTTAATTTTTTTGATTAAACCATCTTAGTGAGAGGTGTACCACATAGTGTCACTTCAGAACATGAAAACTAACATTGGAGCGCTTGGTCAGTTGTGCTGCTGCACTTAGCGACCCTAGACATCAGCGTCTTCGCTGTGAGCAGGGAGTGAGGAGGGTGCTTGGGGTGCGGTCACTCACCCACAGACCCGACTCCGGGCTGTCTCAGAGTTTTTTGTGAGTTTCCCCGGGCTTTTTTGGTTTTGGGGTTTTTTTGGTTTTTTGACACTAGGTGGGAGTTGCCCTGGCTGGGCTCAGATTTTTTGTGTTGCTGTTTCACTCCCAGAGTGAAGGCTTACAGGTGTAATCTGGCTTATTTTTGCTGATAAAATAAGGATTCCTATTCATACTTGCTTTCCTTGGTGGAAGGCAAGGTAAGTGGAGGAGACAGAGGCTGTGCCCTGAAGGTCTTCGGGTTCCTCCCCCTGAAGTTCAGGTAGAAGTTGAGGGACAGACGGCGCAGTGGTACTCACAGGCACTTGCTCTCCCACAGGTATTTTAGTTTCATGAGGAGCTTGGCCTGCGCTGCTCACCACATGGTCAGTGTAGCATATCACCGCAGTGCCCGGTAGTTAGTAAAGTTTGTAGGGCCTGACACTTGATTCAAGCATCATCTCTCCTTCCCATTCTTGTTCTCTGTATAGTCCACGCAGTGTCCAGAGCTTTCCTGAACCTGTCTCAGTTGAGTTTCACGAAAATCTTGTGGGCTGGGTTTAACATCCAACATCTTACAGGAAGTTGTTAAAGTGCAGAGAAATTGGTAGGTGTGCTGCCAGGGGCTAGAGCTGCAGCACTGTGCGTCCCATAGCCCCCGTGGGGAGGCTGGCTTTCATCAGCTCCTGTTACATGACTGGTGGCATCCCTGACCAGTAGTGTGGAACTGTTATTGGACAGGAAACAAGTGCTAGGTGACAGCCTTGATGCTCCGTTGGGAGGAGAAAGAGTAGTTCTTGGGGGTGTTTGGAACAAGACTTTTCCGTATTTAATGTTATGTGAAAGAACCCTGAAGGGCTAAGAGACCTAACCCTGCCCTTTTCCTTTTCTCCCCAGAATTCTCTTGACATTTGTGTCAATATTTTCCCTATATTCTGTTCATCTCCTTTTGAAGACTGCCAGTGAAGGAGGTATGGTAGAATTCTTAACTTTTCTCAGATAATGTGTACCTTTTGTGATTCGTTTCCTCATAGTGCATTTGTTCACTTTGTCTTCTGTGTTCCTTAAATTGTAGGGTCCTTATTATATGAACAATTGGGACATAAGGCATTTGGGATGCTTGGGAAGCTCGCGGCCTCTGGATCGATTACCATACAGAACATTGGAGGTGAGAATGATTTAAGAGGTGGCTTGGGTAGTTTGTTTACTGTATAGGACAGAGTGGTGACACCTGGGTTGTAGTGTCATGTGCCACATTTTGCACTTGTAATGGTATAATTTTGTTTTTCTCCAGCTATGTCCAGCTACCTCTTCATAGTGAAATATGAATTACCTTTGGTGATCAAGGCATTAATGAACATTGAAGATACGAATGGGTAGGTGCTAAGTAAGGTTACTCTTAAGAAACAGTAGCCTAAGATGATGGGATGTGTTTTCTCAAAGTTGGATATAAAATGCTTAGTTTCTGTTGACTAAGAAGTCTGTCCAGAGCTAACGTGAACCTTTTGAAAATGAAACACCAAAGACAGTAGCTAACTCTTGACTCTGGACGGCTACGATAGCTTCTTGGGGTTTGGGTGTTTTCGAGAGAGGGTCTTGTTATGTCTTTGAGGCTGGCTGCAGACTCTGGTAGTACTGCTGCCTTAGCCTCCCAAGTGCTGGGAGTACAGGCGTGCGCACTCTGCCTGGCTTATCTATAGTAATTTCTAACCTGTGAGAACAGGTTTTTTAGAATTTGGTTTCTCGTTTTATATTCCTATTTAAGAAGTCAGCTATCAGACCCCAACCTAAGAGTGAAGATGTGAATTACATTAAACAATCAGAAAACTTAATCTGCTTAATACCAGACGTGACAAAATATGTGTGGTTATGGTATGGGAACTTTAGTCTTCTGGCAGTTGTTCATCCCAGAGGACTAGCACGTTTTTACCTGAAGTAAACATGGGGCTGAATTACTTTCCAACTTCATTGTAGCTTGTTCCCTCAAAATACAGAGGTATGGTGTCTTTGTTGCTTTAGAAATATAATTTGGGAAACTTCATTGTTTTAAGGCAGGATCTCACTTTGTAGTTCAGGATGGCCTTGAACTCTGTGATCCTCCTGTCCCCGCCTCCCAAGTGCTGGGATTTAAGGCGTGCGCTACCACACCCAGCCGATAAACTGATTTTCACGTGCTGGTTTTCCACGGGGTCCTTGTTGCTGAAGTAAATGTTGTGGAATTCCTGCATCGACTTCACAAACAGTAACTTGAGTTTACTTCTGTATTAAGGGCGTAGAATGTTTAGAAATGTTCTTTTTACTATTGTTGATGTCAAAGTGGATCAAAACATCAACAGTACACTATACTCTGGAGCAAAGTTACGGTTTTGCGGACAGGTTTGTTCCAGCTTTTATTTTACGTATGGAAAATTTCCTTGTTGAGATGTTTAAAATGTGTATTTGCTAACAAACGTGGGGTGGGGGCTTTGTTGTAAGATGCACTGATGGCCAGCGTGGAAATGGCAAGCCCAAGCCATAGCAGAGTGGTTCGTGTACAGTGTTTTTTCTAGAAGTGCTCAGAGATAAGCTCACTGGCTTCACAAAGCGGCCTTGTTCCTAGTACCGAGTCTTTAAGACGCATTTTATGTTACGAATCAGCTGGCAGTCTTCCTAGAGCAAGCGGTGGGACAAAAGTTAGACTGTTTTGTGTTCCAGCTCTTTAACTGGAGTGAGTATGTACAAAGTTTAAAAGTTACTCCTGTTTTCACTGAAGAATACTGCGAGACCCCTTTTTTTGTGTATCTTCATGGACTCTGTATTCTGAGTTGTCTGTGAACATTTAGATGTGCTCCGTAACTAGCACTGACCTAGTTTTCTTTTCTTTCATTTAGATTGTGGTATCTAAATGGTGACTATTTGGTTCTGCTGGTGTCACTGATGCTCATTCTGCCTTTGTCGCTGCTGAGAAACCTAGGTGAGCAAGCCTGCCTGTGCTGAAAGGGTGCTGAGGGGAGACTCACCGGGGCTTACCCTTAGCAGAAGTGAGTGCGCTTCAAGGCCCTGGACGTTCCTGTGGGAGGCGGCAGGCGTGCAGGACCTAGTTCTCTCTTGTTGCTGTACTGGGGATGGGACCCAGGGCCCTGTGCTTACTAGGCAAGAGCGCTGCCAACACCCTTAGTTCCTGTGGTTCTTTCAGCATCCTGGCAAGGTCACTCCCAAGCCAGCGTGCTTCATTGACATTTCTCTATAGTTTCGCTTTGTAAGTAATACATGACAACGATCTATATGACCGTTACTGTATATTTTCTTATGTTAGAAGTTTGACATTGTACCTTCTGGCTAGGCATGGTGGCGCATGCCTGTAATCCCAGCACTTGTAACACTGAGGCAGGAGGGTCATCCTGAGTTCAAATCCAGCCTGTACTACTAGGGAGACTGCTTCAAAAACCAAAATGCACCTACTAAAAGTATGGTTGCTTAACACTTTCCCAGGAGAATTTGGCTAATCCATGGAGAAGTGCTCTCTGACCTAACCTTACTCCAGACTAATAACTTGCTTTTGTCTGCCCCTTGCAGGATACTTAGGGTATACCAGTGGCCTTTCCTTGCTCTGCATGGTGTTCTTTCTGATTGTGGTAGGTTGAAATATTCTATACAAAAAAAATTTTTTTTTGCAATTGAAAATATTTTTATAACATGACTAAGTTTTTAAAAACTATGAAATATATTTTCAGGTCATTTGCAAGAAATTTCAAATTCCTTGTCCTATGGAAGTTGCTTTGCTAATGAATGAGACTGTGAATACTACTTTAACACAGTCAGCAGAGCTCGCGTCCACCGGGGGTCTCAATGCAACTGTGGCCGACTCTTGCAGACCACGCTACTTCATCTTCAACTCACAGGTGACCACATAGACTATGTTTTCCAAGGAGCGTCTTGGGGAGGGAAGCAGCCCTGGAAGCATTACTGCAATGCCCAAGGCAGGGGAGGTGGGCAGCAGGTGGCTCAGCAGGCATCTGAGTAGCTAGTCACCGAAAACTGAAGTATCCATTTTCTTAAAGTAGCTTGAGAAATACTCATAGTGTTCAGCCATTATTGATCACAGTGAATGGGCAGATTAAAAAGTAGAGGCCAAGAATGCGGAGGAAACTATTTTAGACTCTAGTATGTGAAAGCTACAGGAGTGGTGAGACTTCTAACACTTGGGTATTTATACATGTCTTTTTTAGACTGTGTATGCCGTGCCGATCCTGACGTTCTCGTTCGTCTGCCATCCTGCCATCCTGCCCATCTATGAGGAGCTCAAGGGGTATGTGCTTTTTTTATATATAAGTATGCTAGGAAAATATTAGACTGTATTTATAACTACTCCTAAAATACATATTTGCATTTTCTTTTGAATCTACATAGCCGCAGCCAAAGAAGAATGATGAACGTGTCCAAGATTTCGTTTTTTGCTATGTTTCTCATGTACCTGCTTGCTGCTCTCTTTGGATACCTGACTTTTTATGGTAAATGTTGCCTAATTTAGAGGGAGGGAAACAGCTGTTGAAATGAGATGTTTCTCTGTTCTTTGAAAATTCAGTCTGGTTTGGTGTTTGCTAAGCCGTTGTCTTTAGACCTTAGAGCTTCCTGTAGTACATTTCATTAGTAGTCACTGGAGCCTGAGTATGGAAACACGCAAGTCACTTGGAGACACATGTGCGTGGCGTGGCGTCCTTGCCTCTGACAGGTGCAGCCCGCGTGCCTGTCCTCCCATTGCCGTTAAACTGTAGCACACAAACTAAGCCAATCCAGGGGATTTAGCTATTTAGCACCTGTTTTTAATGGAGGTCATGTGGCTAAATCTCTGCTTGGTGGTCAGAAAGATTTTTCTTTGAATATTATTTTAATTGCATTAACTATAATTCCAAATTAATCACATTAGCCTCTTAGTTTATTATAGTCACTTTGTGAGTAGCTAAACATTTTAGTGGAGATCGCACTGTGTAGTAGATTTTCTGCTTGACCTCCAGGAGTGACACGCTGAAAGCCTTTCTGGTCTTTGCCTGTAGGCCGCGTAGAGTCCGAATTGCTTCACACATACTCCACTGTCGTGGGAACCGACATCATTCTTCTCATCGTCCGCTTGGCTGTGTTAGTAGCTGTCACCCTGACAGTACCAGTAGCTGTCTTCCCAGTAAGTAATCAGTCACCTGCCTCTTCTCAGTAAGGATGAGTTTTTAAAACTTGTGAAGATTTCTGAAATTGTTATTTTCTTGAAGAAGGGAAGAAAAACACAGTAGTAGAGCAATACCCAGTTAGCACTGGTGATGTTTTACATGGAGTTCCTACTACTTGCCATTCTTTGCATTAGCTGAAACTGATTTTTTTTTTCTCTTTTTCAGATTCGGAGCTCTATAACTCACCTGCTGTGTCCAACAAAAGACTTCAGCTGGTGGCGTCACAGTCTCATCACAGTGTCCATCTTGGTGTTCACCAACTTGCTGGTCATCTTTGTCCCCAGCATCAAGGATATCTTTGGTTTCATTGGTAAGTTTTTTAAAGTATGAAAGTCACCTCACCCAAGGGAAGTTAAAACTTAAAAAGTTAAATAATGCAGTGAAATGTTTTTCACAGGTGCATCTGCTGCTGCTATGTTGATTTTTATCCTCCCATCTGCCTTCTATATCAAGTTGGTGAAGAAAGAACGTATGAAATCTGTGCAAAAGATTGGGGTGAGTGAGTGAGAGATGGTGACTGGAGAAACAGCAGCAACCCTTGAGGTCTTGCCAGCTCACTTTCAGTTTCTCCATCATCATGGTTTTACTTTTAAGTTTCTAATATTTTAGCAATACAACTTAACAGGCTGGGCATGGGAGGTAAAAGATAGTTGGCCATCAGATAAACACTGGACCTCTTGTTTGTCAGGAGGTGTATGCTGCTGAGCTATATGCCCAGCCCATGTGTACATATTAAAAAAAAAATATATATATATATATATATAGAGAGAGAGAGAGAGAGCAGAAGAAAAAGTAGCATAAAGATAGCCACCCATTTGTTAAACCTGTGTTTGCCATCCTGCTGTGTGACGGGTGCCTAAGTGACAATCAGTTGGATGAAAGGAAAAAGGTCCCATATGTAGGCTCATTCGAGCAAGACTGAGCGTCCCACAGCAGAGCGCGCTCACGCGTAGCTCCCGGGGCCCTCTCCGTGCGTTCACTCATGAGCCTGAAGGTAGTAGGCCCTTCCTCCAGCGTGAGATGCCAGCCTGGGGAGGTCTAGGACCAGAGTCCTCATGGGGAGATGGCTGCTTCTCAGTATTTTCCCGTTTCTCCAGTCTGATTAAAGCTATGGTTTTTGCTCATAATAAATAAACAGCTGAACTCTTGTTTTACTCAGAATTATAAAGTAACAGTAACTGTTATGCTTTTAAAAGATTGCCCAAAAATCTCCAGTCTAGTGCTGTACAAAGTCATTTAGTCAAAAAAAAAAGTCGTTTTTGTTTCAGAATGAAATGAAAAAATGTCAAAGTTCAAAAAGCATCAGTCAATTTCCCCTATTTTTTTTAAAAATTTTTTATTTATGTGTGTGTGTGTGTGTGGCCAGCTCAGCCCACCAGGGGGCACGGCTGGCCGGCATGTGGTGCTGGGGGATGGAACCGCGGTCCCTGTGCTTTGCCAAGCTCGTTCCAAGTAGGTGCTTTAGACCACTGAGCCATCTCGCTAGCCCCCAATTTCCCCTGTTAAAAAAGCCCCATCTAAAATGTGGCACAGCATAAGGAACCCCTCAGGAATCCTGAGTCCGTATCAGGCGGCGCACTGCCAGCAGGTGTGCTGCTTGCTGATCGGTGCCTGGCCTGGTGCTTGTTGCAGGCGCTGCTTTTCCTGCTGAGTGGCATCTTGGTGATGATCGGAAGCATGGCCTTGATCGTCCTGGATTGGGTGCACAATGCCTCCAATGGCCACCGCTGATGGGCGCCGCCAGGCTGCAGTCGTCGCGGGATGCCAGTGTTGCGTGGACTGGACTAGAAAATTGTACCTGACGTTTTCAGTTTCACTTCCTTTTGAAATGCAGATTCTTCGCTGGTTCTTCTGAATGCAGAATAAGTGAATTTTATTTTTTCCTTTTTTTAAAGAAACATCTGTGTGTTAGGAATGGATATTAACAAAACCACAAGACTTGGGTGAAGGGAAGTGACAATTTTATTCCATTCCAGAGAATGGATGAATTTTAACTTTTATCAAGCCACATGTTTGGCTGTGTCATTGTTTAACTTGGATATTTTATGATTTTACTTGAATGTGCCTAATGGAACCATTCGATGTGAAAAACAATTGTTAATTTACAGCAAAGTATTGAAATAACCATTGAGAAAAACGTTTTTTTTTTTGTACCAAAAATACTTAATGACCTCAGATGCACTATTTTACTTTTAAGAAATGGCTTTTTTTGAACTTTATCCAGAAACAGTTGTCAGTTCCAAAATAATTTCATTGGTATTTAAAAATATTAGTTTAATGATTTGCCTTTTTTGTAGGCGTTATTAGCCAAATGCTTTTTTACCCAAAGTAATTTCTAGAGAAAACAGTGTAATGAAAAATTGAACTGTGAGTTGGGAAGATTCTTTTCCATTCAGACTTCACTGTATTTGAAGGATAATTGAGTATATGTTGCTACACCAAATCAGATGAGCTCTGTTCATCACTTACCTGTCCCTAAATAACACTTCGGTTCATCTAGACAAAGTACGTTTTGGTCTTCAACCTGGTAAAGTGGAAAATAATACAGATATTTCTGTGGGAATAAAGCAATTCTGAGGTACCAAATAGTGCAACTGGGTAAAACGGGGCTTCCTCGGTTGCATCCGTCCTGGGGCTGTGTTGGCAGCTCTGGACTCTTTTTGGGCCAGCCCTTTTTTTGACCTTGCTTCCAGCTGTGAGAAATGGGCATTTGGGTGGCGATAAGCCGAAACCATTCTATTCAGAGAGTACAGCTTGTTTAAATGCCCACCTACTGGAGGTGTGATTTACTTGACAATGTATGGCTTAGTTGTCTCCGTGTTTTGTCTACAGTAGAAGTCTAATCCATGTTACACCTATATTTGGTATAAGTTCTCCTCATATAGGCCAATGGGTTTTTCATGCAGTAAGCTTTCTCAGAACTGGTTTGCACTGAATTGTCAATCTCATTCTTGTACAGTGTAGAATTATTTGTTTACATCCAACAAATGATTAGGGGAAACAGTGCAACCTGATCATACTAGTTCTCTTCCAACTGCATGTTCACCCTTCCATTTCAGTTCCACTTAGAGGCGGCAAGATTGCTTTGAAACTCTGCTTCAAGAGCACATTCGTTGTACGTTACAGTGTGTGGTGAATACGTTATTGAGTAATGTGGTACTCTGCCCATCTGGCATAATGTCGAATCTAATATAATTCCAGTAAGTGGTTGAGGGAAACAATTGAATTATCAATTAGTTTTCTGGCTCTAAGGTTGTCTCTTGAATTAAACATCTTTAGTTTGAAGCAAGGGCCAGAAATATGACAGGCATGGTTTTGTTACGCATTCTTGTATTATATGTGACTAAATTTATACACAAGATGTATTTGTACTTAGAGGCCCTTACAGAACTGGAAGACATCTTGTAGTGCTACCTTGGGTGAAACCAATGGTCCATTTTTGATTTTACAAAGATAAAATTCTTGGGACCATCTAGAAATCAAAAGGCAGTGAGAAGACAAATTCTACAGCACTGCTCTCACTTAACTGGGCTTTGGACACTCCATTTGAATCCAGAACCTCACCTGTAGTTCAGACCAAAAATTGGCACTTTCACGGGTTCCTGGAGAAAGGATTCTATTCCTGAGACCTACTTACCAAGCAAGGAGCTGTTTTCTACAGTTCACACCCTTCTGTGAAGTACGTGGGAACCCGGAATGAAAACAGGAATCTTCTCAAACAGCAAGTCAGTGTACAGAGGCTCCCCCTTGATCCTTGGCTGTTGGAGGTTCAAAAAGAACTCTTGGGATAAATTCCATCGCAAGCTCTTGGTCCCGACACGGTGGACTCCCATTAATGAGCAGGCTTCAGTATTAACACCACTGTCTTGTCACCTTGTTGCGCATTACCGTCTTCCGTGGATGTTTCAGTTAACTGTAATGTTATTTATAGAACACCATTAATCCATTAAAGCTAACCTATTTTTCAATATTTATGATAATCTATGTACATACAGCATCTGTCCATATGTATTTGTAAATAGGTTGTATATATCAGGATTGGGTCTTGGGGTTCAAGTGTATATATTCCTGTAAGTTTCTTAACTGCATTTTGATGAATTCACATTATATATGTCACAAAAGCACCTGTACAGAGAACTCGATATAAAATTGACGAATTATGTACAAATACTTAACATTTAAAATATTTGTTAAAAAATTGTTATTTGTAATAAACTGGTTGGACATCAAATTTTTTTCACATAAACTGGGTGCAAGTTCAAATCTCTTAAATTCTGAATGAGGTCCAGAGTTTCAAAATGCAGCAGTTCCCAGAATATGCTCTCACAGAATGACCTTTGGAGAGCCCAGGCGTGTGGACTCCGTTTGCATAGTGTAAATACCCCACTGTACCGTTAGAGGCCAGCAGTCCCAGCGCGAGGCTTGCTGGCAGTGAGCTCTACACCGTTTCAATGAAACAATGTACGTTTGTTTTAACTAAACTAAAATAAATACACGCTTAATCCTGAGCAGCAGTGTTTTCTTTGGGGCAGCAGGATGTGCACTGGGGGTGCAGTGTGAGTTGCGCCTTGTAATGCTGTGGTAGGTTTGATGAAGTCAAGTTTGGCTTTGGTATTGGGAAGATACCAGCGCATCTAACTGGGGCAGCTGACAGGAGTTTAATTTTGTTTCGGAAAACTGTCCAGATGCAGTTATAATTGGGGAGCACTGGGGTGCACCTGGGAAAAGTCAGGCTCAGTCTTGGTGTGCTGGCCACAGAAAGGGCGCGACTCCGTGGCTAGCTGACTGCTCCCAGGCAGCAGCTCTGTGTGCCCAAGTGGCAATAAGGTGAGGGTTACGAAGACGGGACAGTCAGGGCTGCAGAGGGCTCCAGTGCAGCAGATGTGTTTGGCGGGCTGCTAGGACTATTCTCGGGGCAATGTGGCCAATGAATTGGCAAGGAGAGAACTGTGATGAGGCAAGGCAGAATTTGCACCAAAGCTCACCTGAAGAGAACAATGGTTGAGGTTTTCAGGTAGCCACCCACAGCTTTTCCTGGGTGTCTAACTTGCAGCGTCAGTCTTAAGATTCTGTCCTCTAAAACAAAATGCCAGAATGCTAGTTTATTAACATAAAACTAGAAGTGTATCTGGTAGGTCCACTTGAGATGAAAACACTAGCCCAGGGAGCCAGCTGGCCCCCCGGCTGATGCGTATGAAGCCTGAGGAATGTTCAAGGGACATTTCTAATTAAAGATCCAGAGCCTTTGTCTTGACTTGGAGCTACTCCTATCTGGAGAGCTGGCGTGGTTAAAATTCTGAAAAAGTGAAGAGAAGCAGAGTAAGACAAAAATGTCAGATGGAGAGAGCGGAGAATGGGATTCTTACAGGCATTAAAAGGTCTTTGGGCTTTCCAAAGTCAGAAACTGCCCCAGAGACCTCACTGACGAGTGTGAAGCTCAGCCGCAGAGCTGGGCCATTAGATCCCGAGCCGACCGCATCAACCCCGCTGTCTCCAAACATCGTAGACACTTAATTCACTACCGTAAGAGGCACACTGCCATGAATCCCCCTCGAGATATTTGCCCTTTGTTTACACAGCGTGCACTAAGGTCCTTTGCAACACGGCTATTGCTGTGATGTTTAATTGAAACATCCACTGCAGTTTTCGGTCACCCCCGTGGGTAGGCAGGCAGGGTGACAGTACAAACATGCACCGGCCAGCAGCGGTCCGTGTAGGTGGAAGAACAGTTTTCAAAGGAGGGGTACAGTAGTCATGGCTAGAGGCATCACCAGCTGTCGTTCGCAGCACTGAGAATCCCCCGTCCTGGGGAACCTCCAATTCAGATAGTTGGCTACTCCTAGCTAGAATGTATCTTAGCAAGGAGATAACCTACAGATAGCAAGAAACGTTTCCTCCTTGCGGACTTCCACACGGGATACCAGCTTGCTCTTACGGTCTTGTCCCAACTCAAAAGCTTCAAGCCTTGCCTTGTCCTAGTTCCCTCCAAGACTCCTAAGGGCCGGCATCTTTTTTTCATCAATTTATCCCCCACACTCGGAATTCTCAAGTAGTCCAGAAGTACTCTGGATAATTTCTGAAGTCAGTGGCCTTCATTTCCCATGGTATTTTGAGGAGAGGGTCACATTTTTAAGCAAGAATGAGCTAAATACTGGCAAAATAAGTCTTTTTTTTTTTATGTACTTAATATAGGGTCTACAGAGTCACGACACAGACTGGACTCGATGCGATCCTTCTGGTTTCAGTCTCCCGAGCGCTATTCCAGGCACGCGCCAGCTCGCCAGTCTCAATCTTGCCCCAGGGGCGGGGCCAGCACGCAGGGTAGGAATGCATCTGGCTGAGCTTTCATCCGCTGAGCTATCCGCGGGGCCCTAAAATCAGAATCTTGACTAAAGCTTATTCCCCTTGAACCTGAGACAATGGCAGGACGACTCACACCTAACCCAAGATCTGCCTCCCGGTGGAGACACCAGCTTTACTCTACCAGCTAAGTGATTTGGTGGTGGCAGCGGCGGTGGCAAGGAAACCCCCCTTTTTTTTTCTTTTTAAAGTCCTAGCCAGATTTAGCTGTCCCTCCACATACCGTGAGGAAAGAGTTAAGGGCAGTTCGGTTGCAGACCCTGGGCCAATTCTGAAGCAAGCTGCCATCAGATTGTTCTTTTTTTTTTTTTTTTTTTTTTTTTTGGCGGAACCGGGGATTGAACTCAGATTCTTGCGTTTGCCAGTCAACCGCTTATCCTACTGAGCCATCTCCCCGGCCCCAAGATTGTTCTTGAGGTCAGTGACTGACGGCCTCCTTGCGTTCACCTAGCGCAACGGCCGGCCCGTGCCAGACTCGCTTGTCAGGCTGCTTTGCGCACACTGCGAGGTTCCGGAGGCATGCTGCTCGCTTTTATAGTGCAGTTCTGACTTTCCAAAGGCCAAGGCAAGCTGCAGAGCAGGATGAGCCTCTGTCTGGCCCCCGAGACTCCCTAGAAAAGCCTTGGGCCCGAGAGCCGGCTTCCCTGAGTGAAGCTGCCCGCGTGTCCTGCAGTTCACTGCTAGAGACATCCCTGCGCTGGGAGGCCTACGCCGGACAGCTGATTCCACTTCGCGCTGTGCTCTCTGGTAATCAGTCTTAGCGGTCGGGATCTCCTGCCGTTCAGTCTGGCGAGCCCTCCATCAACAACCGAAACGCGGATACTGTTTTCTCGCCAAGCCGTCAGCTCACAGCCCTCGGGCTCTCCTGCTTCTCCAGGAAGAATATATTTTTCAAGGAACGCTTCAAAGCATTACTGAGCAAGTCTTGCTCAATGACGCTGGGAGTTGAAGGGCGAGAGGGCTCAGAGCCTTCCCTTGTACCCGCAGCGTAGGTGCGAGCACCCTGCAGGCCCGTGTGACAGCTCTCCCCGTCCCCTGCACACAGCCCTCTGTCCTGCTAGGCAGGTACAACGCTACCTTCTAACCCGCCCATGCTAAGAAGAACAGAGGTGTCAACATTCTCAGCAGGACACGTCCTGGAGATGACAGGTTCCTGCCGTGCATTCCGTGTCCGCCCTGCTCTTGGCCTTGCTCCCGCCTGCCCCCGCCATTTCTAAGTGACCTAAGATCTTTTCAAACCACTTAGTGTCCTTACCCTGAACGTAGTTCTGGTAAATTCAATTCTGTCATCTGATCATCTATCTTGGAAGTATCTAAGTAGAGCCCAATCTATAATTCAGAAACAAAGCGGAGCTGGTTGAAACAGAACCCTCGGTGGGTTGGGGGCTCAGAACCCGGCCTCCGGGGCCTCCCTAGGGCTCTGCAGGGTAGAGCTGGAGCCAGGGCCTCCACATTCCTGCAGGATGAAGAGGTCCCTCCACCCTTCCCCCACCTGGACGTTCCCACCGCCTGACTCCAGTGCCCCTTCTGAGAAGAGCCTCTTTCTCTGCTTCCCAAGCCCAGGGCTGTGGCTGCTGTCTGTGCCCAATCGCTGCGATCTCAGCACAGAGCCAAAGACCTCAAGACAGACCGAGAGCGCTTCACAGGGCTGCCAGCACTCTGCCTGGGAATGCCCTGCTCAGCAGAGCCTCGGGTCCTTCCAAGCATCTCTGGCAGAGCAGCTGAAGGAATCCTCGTGATCTGACATGGTCTGCAGTCAGCCGCGAAGCCACTGATCAGAACTACCACTGGCTGTAAGGAATCACATTGTGCTCTCATAGTGGTTGCTGCTGTGTTGTGGTATTGGGGACCACAAGATCTTCGCACTGAGCTACAACCTCAGCCCTTTAAATATTTTTTTTTTTAAATTTTGAGATAAACCCTAAGTTGTCCAGCATGAGCTTAAATTTGTGATCCTCCTGCCTCAGCCTCCCAGAAGGCTGGGACTATGAGTACTTGCCAACACATCCAGGTTCATAATCTGAAAAAGGAAGTACAAGATACCTGTAAGAAAAATGTGTCGACCTCCAGTTAGAATGAGGTTGTTTTGTTTTGTTTTTTGTCTTTTAGAAAGGTCTACAGGGTGTACAGGGTCTCACTATGTAGATCAGACTCATAGTGATACACCTAAGTTTTCAGGCTCCCAAAGAACTAGGATTACAGGTGCGTGCCACCAGGCCCAGGCTCAACTGCCATCTCAGCAGGAGGAAGAGGTCCCTCTACCCTTCCCCCACCTGAACAATTCCAGGGGCAGGGCTGGCAAGGCAGGCCAGGGATTGAACCCTGGCCCCTGCATCTGCCTAAGCAGGCGCTTTAATCTGCTGAGCTATTTGGCCAGCCCTTAGACTGAGTTCTGAAGATGTGATAATAAACCAATCCTCCGAATCATCCATTTCTTAGGGACGTGGGGGATTAGTTTGGGTCCTAAATGTAGAACTTAAACTTTCAGAGTCATCACAGACTATTAAAATGAAGCAAAACCACACACCAATACAACTTTTGAAGTGATGTACTGAAGCAAAGAATGGTGGCATATTCCTGTAGTCTAAGCACTCCAGGAGGTTGAGGCAGGACCATTAGAGCCTCCAGCCTGGGAAACGTAGCAAATTAATGAGACTTGTCACAAAATAAAAAGTAAAAAAAAAAAAAAAAAAAAAAGAAAGAAAGAAAGAGCCTGGAGATATAGCTCATTGCAAAGGTCCTGGGTTCAACCTCACAGTACAAAAATAAATACGAGAGAGACAGAGAGACAGACAGACAGAGAGACAGACAGACAGAATTAAAAAGCGTACGTCTGGGGAGATACTTCAGGCAATGAAAGGAACCAAATACATTGAATCCTTATGTTAAGGATACAATTCCATCCAGCAAGTATTTGTTTTTCTAAAGGGGAAATACACTCCATAAGTTTTGGAAAGTGATCAATTTTATTTCAGTGTTTCCAGTTTATTACAGCTTATCATGAAGTCATGCTATATTCTAAGCCCTGAAAAACTGTCTATCTGTTTTATTTCCTTTCGTTTTCTTGGCCTTTCCTTTTTAAGTGACTGATGTCTCCAGAGATGTGAAGCTCATGGTCCACAACCCTTCTGCTCCAGTTAGAGGAACT